ACGCATTCATGAATCCACATACACCCACAAGGCCAAGTATTAAAAAACAAAATGAACAGGGCAAGAGTTAAACACAGATGTAGTAGGTTACACACTTCCGAGCATATATGTCCACCTTCTTAAGCCTCACCCATGGAAAGTCATGTAACCTGGATTCTGGCAACATTCTGAGACTTAACTAAAAAGAGGTGGTGTCCAAGTTGCAGAGAAAGTGAACAGTTTTATGTGCAAAATGCTTAGCAAACTGATCACAGCTAGTCCTGCATTTTCTGAACATTTATAATAATGAGCCCCCCAGACATCTACAAAAGTTCCTGCTGTGTAGACACAATGTTGGTATAGAAGTACAAACACTTTAGTGCCATTGTGGTGCCATAGTATGCTCCAGCTTGAATCAATCTGTGTTCACTTTGGGTTTTCTTCCACCTTTGATCCAGTCATCTGTCTACCCACTTCTGTGCCCCAAGCTCCATAGAAAATCAAGAAGCCAAATGAGCTCTGTGGTATGGAAGAGGGCATCTAGGGCTGATAATTTCCATTACCTCCATCATCTTTATATGTCTGAAAGGAACCAGATCTTCAAGAAAAGGACCAGCTTCACCAATGGGAAACTCCTCAAAGGTTAGCAGAAAACCATCAGCTTCCTGGTATGTGTCATTCCTATCCTCCTGGCAAAGGTTCTAAGTTTCTGAAAGTATTAAACTCACCAGGTAATGGCTAGTTCATGACAAGGGAAGTGTAACCACCACTACCTCCGGTGATCAAACCATCTGCCATTTTAATTAAAGAAAACCAGACTATTTGACTTGCCCATGTGTGCAGATTGTTTTGGGGATAGCTCTGTATTTCTCATGGCAGCCCTGAGGACCAAAACTGTTCTGAAAGGAACCAGATCTTCAAGAGAAGGACCAGCTTCACCAATGGGAAACTCCTCAAAGGTTAGCAGAAAACCATCCGCTTCCTGGTATGTGTCAGTCCTATCCTCCTGGCAAAGGTTCTCAGTTTCTGAAAGTATTAAACTTACCAGGTAATGGCTAGTTAATGACAAGGGAAGTGTAACCACCACTACCTCCGGTGATCAAACCATCTGCCATTTTAATTAAAGAAAACCATACTATTTGACTTGCCCATGTGTGCAGATTGTTTTGGGGATAGCTCTGTATTTCTCATGGCAGCCCTGAGGACCAAAACTGTGAGACAGCCAAGAAAGTCCCATGTGGAAGATTAAAGACCTGAGGACTAAATACCTGATGGACCTCAAGTCTATGTCCAGCAGTTCAGGGGAGTGTTAGGCAGCAAGAGTGCATTATCCACTAACAGCATTCCTACTCGTGGGATACGGTGGGGTATAAATAAATAAATAATCTGGTCCGTATACCCAAACCCAGGTACATGCTCTTGTACTTCCAGATTTAACTGACAATGCACCAGGAGAGGATGATGGAAGCACAACAGACCATGGACTATTGTTAACTCCTGAGCATCTAAAAACATAAGAGAAGCCAATGCTGGATCAGGCCAATGGCCCATCCAGTCCAACACTCTGTCACACAGTGGCCAAAAATACCAGGTGCCATCAGGAGGACCAGCAGTGGGTCTAGGACACTAGAAGCCCCCCCACTGTTGCCCCCCCCCAAGCACCAAGCATACAGAGCATTACTTGCCCCAGACCGAGAGTTCTTATCTATACCTTGCAGCTAATAGCCACTGATGGACTTCTGCTCCATATGTTTATCGAATTCCCTCTTGAAGCCATCCATGCTTGTAGCGACCACCACCTCCTGTGGCAGTGAAATCCATGTGTTAAACACTCTTTGGGTGAAGAAGTATTTCCTTTTATCTATTATAACCCGACTGCTCAGCAATTCCATTGAGTACACACGAGTTCTTGTATTGTTAGAAAGGGAGAAAAGTACTTCTTTCTCTACCTGCCCTTTCCCATGCATAATCTTATAAACCTTGATCATGTCACCCCTCAGCCGTCATTTCTCCAAGCTAAAGAGCCCCAAGCGTTTTAACCTTTCTTTATAGGGAAAGTGTTCCAACCCTTTTATCATTCTCGTTGCCCTTTTCTGCACTTTTTCCAATGCTATAATATCCTTTCTGAGGTGTGGTGACCAGAATTGCACACAGTATTCCAAATGAGGTTGCACCGTCGATTTATACAGGGGCATTATGATATTGGCTGATTTGTTTTCAATTCCCTTCCTAATAATCCCCAGCATGGCATTGGCCTTTTTTATTGCAATCACACACTGTCTTGACCTTTTCATTGAGTTATCTACTACGATTCCAAGATCTCTCTCATGGTCAGTCTCTGCCAGTTTGGATCCCATCAACGTGTATTTATAGTTAGGACTTTTGGCCCCAATGTTCATCACTTTGCACTTGGCCACACTGAACCCCATTTGCCACGTTGACGCCCACTTGCCCATCCTCGACAGATCCCTTTGGAGTGCCTCACAATCCTCCCTGGTTCTCACCATCCTGAGCAACTTCATGTCATCTGCAAATTTAGCCACGTCACTGCTTACTCCCAACTCCAAATCATTAATAAACAAGTTAAAACGCATCGGGCCCAGTACTGATCCCTGCTGTACCCCACTGCTTACCACCCTCCACTGAGAAAATTGCCCATTTATACTCACTCTCTGTTTCCTGTCTTGCTAGTTTGATGCTGCCCTGAGAAACCTAGCTTAAAAATTGGGGCAGATCGACCTCTTTCCTCAGCTGGGTGTCTGTGTTACTCATCAGGCCAACACTTGTATCCGGAATTGTCCGTGTTTAATTATAGACTCAAGTGTTTTTTAGCAGCAGAACTTCACAAGGTTATCAGGGTTTCGTTGACTGAGAGAAGAGCCAGAAAGGCAGGGGGTTCTTGTTTGACTATTCTTATCTTTAGCTTGAGGGACAGGAGTAAAAAGTACCAGGATATGTGTTTGTGAACTATCTTGAAGGAACAGGATACAAACATTTCAATTGATACATTTCCTTAAGTCCCCCTTAAAAAACAGCAACAGGTCCTGTTGGAATAGATGTAACTCAAAGATGTTCTGTAACATTTGCCATCTGGACAGGTAGTTGATGGGAGGGAAACACAGGAGAGAAGCTTGTGTACATGCAGGCTAAAATGTTTCCTAAAGGTAAAGGTTCCCTTGCTCGAAAGCCAGTCGAGTCCGACTCTAGGCTTGCGGTGCTCATCTCCGTTTCAAAGCCAAAGAGCCAGCGCTGTCCGAAGAAGTTTCCGTGGTCATGTGGCGGGCATGACTAAACACCAAGGCGCACGGAACGCTGTTACCTTCCCACCGAAGTGGTCCCTATTTATCTACTTGCAATTTCTTGCTTTCAAACTGCTAGGTGGGGAGGAGCTGGAACCAGAGACGGGAGCTCACTCCGTCATGTGGCGCACTCGGGTCTCGAACTGCTGAACTACCGACCTTCCACAGCCTGCAGTTCAGCGTCTTAACCACTTGAGCCACCGCAGCTCCTAAAATGTTTCCTAAAGACGTCTCTAAAAGATGTAATAGGAACATTGATAACGAGTGACAGACACCACCAGGCCCTAGTGACAGGAGCAATCACAGTATCTCGTTTGTATATAAAAAAGCCTTCCAGACAGTTTACAGCACTATGGTGGTGGTGGCCAGTGCCAGTCACAGCGGACTTATGGGCAACCCCGTGAGGTTTTCAGGGCAAGAGACGTCCAGAGGTGGTTTGCCAATTGGCCCACTCTTGCATAGCAACCCTGGCCTTCCTTGGAGGTCTCCCACCCAAACCTGCTTAAGCTTCCGGGATCTGGGCTATCCAGATCACGATTTAGAGCACCATAAAGATCAATTAAACAGCAACATACAGTGAAGTGCTATCGAAATGCTATTGGGAAAAACACCACGATACGCAATAATCACTCCGCTTCTCAGTTGCCGGGTGCCTGTTGCAGCGCTCTGTCTCGGAGCACCCTAAAAGGCTAACAGCGTGGTTTCTTTTTCTTCCTTTTTGACAAGCTCGTGATAAGCCCGGTTCTGTAGATGCAGGCAGCGAGTCCTCCTCACGCCAGAGATTCGACGCAGGTGGCTCCGCTTCAGTCGCGGCTCGCCTTCTTCAGGCGGCCGCCTGCCGCTCCACCCGAGCGTTTCCTCTGGGGAGGGCGGCTGAAAGCGAACAGTAGTCCCAAACCTCGCGGGGAAACCACGAGGGAAACTTTGCAGCAGGAGTTTTGTGGCAGCCGGCCTGCCTGCCTGCCTCCGTCCGGCTCGCAGGAGGCAGAGTTCGGTGTGCTGCTCGACGAGGAAGAGAGCGAGGGGGGGACAACATCCCAGGCGAAGAGGTGACGGGGGTCTGGCGGCTGGAAGAAGAAGGGACCTTTGGCGGCGGCTGCCAGGCAGAGGGCGCGTCTGGCAGGCCAAGAGCTGCCGCGTCTCGGATGGAAGGGCGTGTGGCGTTCTAAAGCGGGCGAGGGGTACCCCGAGAG